TAGGCAGACGGCTCAGTCTGGAAAGTGCTCGCCATGCAAACGTAAGGCCCTAGTTTGGGTCACCAGAACCTATGTATGAAAGAGGGCACAGTGGAGCAGACTTACACCCCAGTGCTGGGAGGCCGAGATGGGGACCCCGGGAGCTCACTGCCTACTCGGCTAAACCAGCCAAGCGACAGGTTCCGAGACTGCCTCAGAACACAAGGACAGGGACTGAGTTAAGGCACCCACATGTGGGGGGCGGGGGGAGGGAGGCAGCTGAGCCCCAACACGATGGCTCACACCTGCAATCTCAGCACCCAGGAAGCTGAGGCAGGGGGATGACAGATTCCAGGCTAACCCAGGCAATTTAATGAGGTCCCTTTTTGAAAAAGAACCACTGAAGAGGGACTCAGGGGCACAGCTCTTGCCTAACACCCTGAGGCTCTGGGGTAAAGTCATGCTATCCTCCAGCCCGGAGCCACGGGGGGGTGGGGTGGGGGGGTGGGGGGGGGATGTGGTGGGAGGTGGGGGGGAGGTGGGAGTGTGAGTGGGGGGAGGGAGGACCCCTCATTTCCTAGGGCGTGGCTTGTGTCACCCCATTTTGTAGCTCCTTGCTTGGGGGACTGCAAAGGAAGGATCTGCCTACTTCCAGTCTGTTTTCATCCTACTGTCCCTGGAGACAGGCCACCTCCCAGCCTTCCCTAGGGGAGGAACCTGGGAGCACCCCACCCTGGGAGAGCCTGGCTAAGCCCCGCCCCTCCTGGCCTTCACATGCACAGTGACACTCACGTCTTACACTTGGGACATTCCTCTACAAACATGTTTCCGTGGAGCTCCGCCAGCTTGTCCCTGTGGAAGAGGATGCGAGTCAGGACCTTTACCAAATCCTGAGGCTTGGGCCGGCTGCTCAGCCTGCCTCCTCCTCCAGAAAGCCTTCCTGGACTGCTCACCCACAAGGTCCATGGACTTCTCTTTCCTGATCCTCACATCAAGGGAAGAGGCCCCAGCCTGTCCCAGTCTGAGGAATTGTTACAGAAAGAGCTGACCTTATTTTTGCAAACACACAAATACCTGTTTCCCACTACAAAAATCTGTTGTCCAGACGGACATGGTGGCACAAGCCCTTAGTCCCAGAACTCGAGAGGCAGGCGGATCTCTGTGACCTCAAGTCCAGCCTGGTCTACACAGAGAGGTCCAGGACATCCAGGGCTACACAAAAAAACTGGCTTAAAAAAAGCCATTGGGGTTGGGGATTCAGCTCAGTGGTAGAGCGCTTGCCTAGCAAGCGTAAGGCCCTGGGTTTGGTCCTCAGCTCTGGAAAAAAAAAAAGAAAAAGAAAAAAAAAGCCATTAACGGGTTGGAGAGATGGCTCAGTGGTTAAGAACACTGGCTACTCTTCCAGAGGGCCCGAGTTCAATTCTCAGCACCCACATGGTGGCTCACAACTGTCTGTAATGAGATCTGGCGCCTCTTCTGGCCTGCAGGTGTACACGCAGGAAGAACACTGTGTACATAATAAATAAATAAATCTTAAAAAAAAAAAAAATCTGTTGACCTAAGAATGTCTGCCCAGAATCCCCGGTGAGGGGCTGGGGGCGTGGTCAGGGTGGAGCCCCGCCTAGAAGCCCCCAGTGAGGGGCTGGGGGCGTGGTCAGGATGGAGCCTCGCCTAGAATCCCCAGTGAGGGCCTGGGGGCGTGGTCAGGGTGGAGCCCCGCCCAGAATCCCCAGTGAGGGGCTGGGGGCGTGGTCAGGATAGAGCCCCGCCTAGAATCCCCAGTGAGGGGCTGGGGGCGTGGTCAGGGTGGAGCCCCGCCCAGAATTCCCCAGTGAGGGGCTGGGGGCGTGGTCAGGATAGAGCCCCGCCTGGAATCCCCAGGGAGGGGCTGGGGGCGTGGTCAGGTGGAGCCCCGCCTGGAACCCCCAGTGAGGGGCTGGGGGCGTGGTCAGGGTGGAGCCCCGCCTGGAATCCCCAGGGAGGGGCTGGGGGCGTGGTCAGGCAGAGTGCCCTGCTCGGAATGCCCGACTGACCAAGTGCTGGCCTGCTTTGGGCTCCACGCTCTTCCCTCTTTCCATCTCCGATAAAATGCCCGTGAGCTGGGGCGGCCGGGTCCTGAGGAGGGAGGGTGCAGCGGAGCCCCAGCTGACCTGGGGAAGCCCGAGCGCACGTGCAGCCCGTCCACGTTCTGGCTGACCAGGAAGCTGAGGAAGCCCACGCGTTCCAGCTGCACCAGGGCCATGTGGGTCTTCGAGGGCCGGGCGCTCTCGAAGGTGGTGTCAAACTTGGGGGCCAGGCCACGCTCCTCCATGGTCCACACGCCGTGGGGGCCTCTGAGGGCGGCGAGCAGAGCAAGGAAGAGAAATCGGGACAGAAAGTCATGTTCCAGCCCTCGGACTCCTGCCGACCCCGCCCCACGGCAGCCCGGTGGGCAAGGGCTCTATGGAGAGGGGTGGGGCGTCGTCACGGAAGAGGCCTGGGGGCAGGCAAACCCTGGGACCCCACTGGGGCCCAGGCCGGTTTCCCAGAGTGCTTTGCAGCGTCCACTGTGAGCCTACAAACTCCAAAGGCGGCACTTGCCGGCATCCCTTGCAGCTAGGACCTCATTCGGGTATGTTCCGGCTGGTGGGCATGCCAACATGTGAGTGTTTGCGGGGAACCGGGAAGGTCGCTCTCCCGCGTCACCCCGGGCCCCCGGAGGTGTCAGCGGGAGCCCTGCCTCAGTTTCCCCTCCGTGTTCACAGACCTGAAGTCGGGGATGCCAGAGGCGGTGCTGATGCCGGCGCCCGTGTGGAAGACCACCCTGGAGGACTGCCACATCAGCCGCGCCAGCTCCCACACCTTGTGCTCCAGCTCCTCGGGCGGGTCGAAGATCTGTGGGGTCAGAGGGCACAGGGTCAGCACGCGACGCCCACTCCCCTCGGCCCTGCTCCCGTGACACCCAGTGACGTCACTTCCGGCCCGACTTTGGATAACCCGGGTCTGTCCCAACTCAAGATGCGGGTTTGTCTGCAGGCTCCGCTCAGGCGAGACGAGCCTGGCGTGGTGGCGCTCGCCTGGCACCCCAGCACTCGGGGCTCGCTGCGAGTTCGGGGCCAGCCTGGGGTACCGAGCGAGTTCGGGGCCAGCCTGGGGTACCGAGCGAGTTCGGGGCCAGCCTGGGCTACACACAGAGACTCCTCTCCCACCGCCCGGCCTCAGCGGCCCGGCTCACAGGGGCGGGGACAGGGGTGTCCCGCGCCTCCCCGCCAAGCCCACCTGGCCGCCTCCCCGCCCCCCCCTGGGCTGGCGTTGGGTCCCGTTCCCGTGTGTCGCCCCGACGCCCAAGGGGCGTCACCTCCCGCCCCCGCCCTGCAGGGAAGTCCTTCCCATTGTCTAGACGCTGTGCCTCCTGCTGTTCCCACAACGCCCCGCTCCTCGGGCCGCCCCTCCCGGCCCCCGGCCCGTCCGGGGTCCTTCGGCGACCCCGGCACCGCGGCCCTCACCTCCGGCAGTCCACACTTGCCCTTGTCCGCGTACGGGGACAGCCCGGCTGCATAATTCACCGACATCGTCGCCGGCACTGCCGCACGGCACAATAAAGTTTCCCTTGTTGAGGCCGCTTCCGCCGGAAGTGGGGAAGGGACGGCCGGGGAGGAGGACCCACCCTCCCTAGAGACAGCGGGGTGTGCGGGGTGTGTGGGGGGTGCGTGTGTTTGGGGGTGGTGCTGCTGGCGGCGGCGGCGGCGGAAGAGGCGTTCTCTCCAGAGTGCATGCGCCGCGCTGACGCCGCGCTGACGCCACGCGCGCCATCTTTAGTGCTGGCAGCTGACTCCTGTGCGTTCCCCAGGCCTGGCTGCCGGCTGTCCCGGACCAGGAAGTTGATGTGGCCATTCACTGGAGCCGAGGCAGGAGGATTGCGAGTCCCAGGCCAGCCCGGCTGTGTAGTGAGACCCTGTTTCATAAAAGGGACAAAATCACCAACAAAACCCATTAAAACAAACCCCTTTGGGGCTTTCGCTCAGTGGGGAGAGCCCCGCCCGCCCCGCGTGCATACAGCCCCGGTGGGAGTTCAAAGCCAGCCTGGGCTTCCTCAGACCCTAGGGCGGCTTTGGGTCTCTGCTGTGTGACTCTCAGCCCGTCTCTGCCCCTCTCTGGGCCACAGGCCAGAATGAGTGGGAACTTGGGCTTTGCAGGCCCAGCAAAGACCTCCGGACTCCGATATTTTCTCGGCTTTGTTTCTGGGGTGCATCTCCCAGGACAGCACAGAGCATCAGGTCCCCCGAACGGAGCGAGTCCCATGTGTGACACAGAGGTGCGCAGAGATGCAGAGAGGTAGATGAGAAAGGAGATACTGGGGTCCCAAGGACTTCCTGTGACCCCCCTCCCGTGGCCATCTCTGCAGTGGGAGGCACCATCCTGACCCTTGTGCCTGTTGGTGGTCACAGACAGGACCAGGTAGTAGTGATGTGCCGGGAACCCGGGTGAGGGGCGGCGGGGACCCCCAGGAAGGCTTCCCGGAGGTGGGAGCGCACAGGCCGGAGGGAGAGGCGGTCCTCGGGGCTGCCCAGCTGAGCAGGCTGGCCAACGGCAGCTCGTCTCCTCCCTCGGCTCACCCCATCCCCCTGGGCGGGTGCCCCCCCCCAAACCTGATCGGGTGTCACCCCGACTCTGCTACTGGCAGCTCGCACCTGGAGCGAGTAACCAGAGAGTCTGTGGTGGACGCAGGGCTCTGGCCTGGAGTCGCCTGAGGTAGGGAGATAGGCTGGGGAGGCCCGGGTGGACACGGCCCTGGGTCCCGAGGAAGGGGAGGCCTGGGAACTGGGGCTGCGCCACAGCGTGCTGCGTGCGACACCCCGAACACATGCACCCACACACTCGTGACAGGCGCACGCGTCCCACCAGACAGCCGCGGCCCTGGCTCAGTGCGCACCCTCCTCCCTGAACCATTGTGGGGACCCACAGGTCCCTGGACCTGTGCTGCGGTCACCTCTTCCAGGAGGCCTTCCCCATCTCCATGCTGCGATTCTCCTGACTGGAAACCTGTGGACGAGGCTCCTGGGTGTCCTGTTACTCACCCTGGGGTGTGATTGAACTTCATAGTTGGGGGGGTGAGAGTGAACTGTCACATTGAGTGTAGAGGAGGAAGGATGGACGGGTGGGAGGGTGAATGTGTGAATGGATGGGTGGGTGGATGGATGGGGCGGGTGGATGGTGGATGGGTGGGTGGATGGGTGAGTGGATGGATGGATGGATGGATGGATGGATGGATGGATGGATGGACGGACGGACGGACGGGTGGATGGGTGGATAGATGGATGGATGGATGGATGGATGGATGGACGGATGGGTGGACGGATAGATGGATGGACGGACGGATGGATGGATGGGTGGATGGATGGATGAATACATGGGTGGATGGATGGATGGATGGACGGACGACGGGTGGATGGATGGATGGATGGGTGGATGGATGGATGGGTGGGTGGATGGATGGGTGGATGGATGAGTGGATGGATGGATGGACGGGGTGAGTGGGTGGATGGATGGGTGGGTGGATGGGTGGGTGGGTGGGTGGATGGGTGGATGGGTGGGTGGATGGATGGACGGGTGGGTGGGTGGGTGGACGGGTGGATGGGTGGGTGGACGGGTGGATGGGTGGGTGGATGGATGGGTGGGTGAGTGGGTGGATGGGTGGGTGGGTGGATGGGGTGGGTGGGTGGATGGATGGATGGATGGGTGGGTGGGTGGATGGATGGATGGATGGATGGATGGGTGGGTGGATGGATGGATGGATGGATGGGTGGGTGGATGGATGGGTGGGTGGGTGGGTCTGCCCTGAACAGATTGCACTTGTTTACCAAGAGCAGTGACAAGTGTGACTGGCCTTCCTACAAGGGACTGACCGTCCAGTGTCTCCTCCCCTCTAACTCCAGGAGTAGGAAGAGTGTTACTGGGCACAGCCTGGTGACGGCTCCTTGCTTAGAAGGCAGGTTAGAGGTAGAGGAAGTGACCCAGCCGAGGAGAATGCAGGAAGTCCACTTGGGGAGGTAGAGTTCGTTCTGTCTGGGGGACAGACATGGGTCAGCACATGGGGTTTCATGAACAGGAGTTCCACAGAGAAGGTGGGGGGGATTATTGGCATCAGTGATTGTACAAGTTCAAGACTGCAGAGCAGTGTCATGGTGATGCCAGTTTACTGTCAGCCCCTTCTGGTGACTGCGCTGCGTACTCACAGCTATGGGCCCGAGGAGGGATTATCTCCTCTGTTTACAGTTGAGGACAGTTCTCAGAGAGGGCAAGTAACCTGCACGGGGACACACAGCAGAGAGGGCTGGCAGTGTGAGATGAGCACAGAGGCTGTGCTGCACAGGGTGCTGCGCAGGGTGCTGCGCAGGGTGCTGTGGTGACCGCCCCAGCACCCTCCCTCACTCCACCCACCCCCTTCCCTGAGACAGGACGAGAGCCCCCAGCCAGCGTGATGAAGACCCTCCGGGCACGGTTCAAGAAGACAGAGGTGAGTCTGCAGGCCTGGGGGAGGGCGTGAGCCCTCAGTCCCTCCTCCTGCTGGAGCCCCCACTGTAGCTCAGAACCCAGGGCTCCGCCTTTAGGCCTCCCCCCTGACCCCCGCCCCCCACCCCGTGCCCCCAGGGACTGTCCCAGCAGCTTCATGGACCAGTTTTTTTTTTTGTTAACCAAATGCTAACCCCCCACATGGGTGGGTCTGCTGACTCCATCCCCAGTCCGGGTCACAGTGGTCACTGTGACCTCCTCCAGGGATGGAAGCAGGGCCTTTGCACATGCTGGCAAGGCGTCAGTGAGATTCCTCCAAACTCTCCCCAACCCTGTTTTTATTTGAATCCCACGATTCCAGGGTCTCCCCCGTGAGCCCCAATCCCACCTTCACACTGGTTCTTCAAGGCATGAGCTTATATTGTCTGCATTTGAGAGACAAAGGGAGGCTCAGAGAGGGTGTGGAAGCTGCCCCAAGTCACACAGCTCAGAAGCGTCCTGCCTCCTGCGGGGGCTGGGCATCTGTGGGTGTGACCTGCATGGGGAATGGGGATGGAAGGGTTTGTTCACAGAGAGAGGAGAGAGGAGAGAGGGCAGGGCGGGGGGGGGGGGGGGGGGGGGGGGAGAGAGAGAGAGAGAGAGAGAGAGAGAGGGAGATCACTTTCCTACACTGTAAGGCTGGACTGGCCTCCTAACCGTTTCTGCCTGGTCCCTCAGTTCCTCAGATACACTTTTCACAGAATCCCTGGGAACCATAGCCAGTTGGAAACCCAGTCACTGCAAAAGCCGAGCAATGGGCTGGCAAGATGGCTCAGTGGGGAATGGTGCTTGCAGCCAAGCGTTTTCTGTGTAAACGAGAGTTGCCTGCCTCGAGGGCTGAGGGCTGCGCACCACCTGTGTGCAGTACCTGCGGAGGCCAGAAGGGGGTGTCAGGTTCCCCAGGGACTGTACCACATGTGTGCAGTACCCACGGAGCCTGGAAGGGGGGGACTCTGGTCCCCAGAACTGGAGTCCCAGGCGGTTGTGATCCCTGTGTGGATGCTGGGAACCCAACCGGTTCCTCTGCAGGGGCAGCCGGTGTATTAACCTCTGAGGCACTTTTCCTGAGTTTGATTACCAGAACCCACTGGTGGAAGGTAGAAAATGACCCCATAAAGATGTCCTCTGACCTCTGCCTCCATGTACCTGTGCACGCACCCACATCAATGTAATTTTTAAATTAAAGGAGAAAATACTTTTTGAAAAGCTGAGTTGGGCCAGCTGTGATAGCGCATGCCTTTAATCCCAGCACTTGGGAGGCAGAGGCAGGCGGATCTCTGAGTTCGAGGCCAGCCTGGTCTACAGTATGAGTTCCAGGACAGCCAGGGCTACACAGAGAAACCCTGTCTGGAAAAAAGACCCACCTATTTTAAAAGCTGAATTATTTCGAAATCTTGCAGCCCACCCCTGATGAGAGATACCTAGCTTGGGATGGGGCGTGGGTGGGTGTGTTTCCGCGGGGCGCTGAAGGGGCAGCATCAGGGTGGGAGGGGCGGGGGCGCTGGGCCAGCCTGGGCAGCAGATGGGAGGCCTGGCCGGCCCCTGCCCGCCCTTATCCGGTTTCCCGGCTGCAGCCAGAGTGAGGCTCCGCTTTTGTCATAGCAGCCCCGAGGGAAGAAAGAGAATACCCGTGGCTGCCTTGGAGGCCTCCCTGGTGCCCTGGGCTTCTGGGTTTCCTCCTGGGGTGGCCAAGCGCCAGGCTGCATCCCAGCAGGTGTCCCTACGCTGTCCCGCCAAGCTCCAGCAAGGGCGCAGAGGCTGTGGGCCTGGGTTTCCCTTGGATAGAATGAGAATTACCTTATCTGGAGCCCCCTCGCTAACCTTCCGGCTTTGTTTGAGGAAAATCCCTCCAGATTTGTTGGTCCTGACCTTGTAGCCAGGCTGGCCTTGAACTACCAGAGATCACCTGCCTCTGCCTCCCTAGTTCTGGGATAAAGGATTAAAGGCTTGTGCCACCATGCCCGGCTCAGTAGTGTCTCTCTCTCCTCTCTCTCTCTCTCTCTCTCTCCTCTCTCTCTCTCTCTCTCTCTCTCTCTCTCTCTCTCTCTCTCTCTCTCTCTCTCTCTCTCTCTCCCCCTGTCACACACACACACACACACACACACACACAAGTTGGCACATGTGTATGTGTGTGTGTGTGTGAGCACGCCAGCACATGTGAGCATGTGCTAGGACTCCCCACAGAGTCCCCACACACCAACCCAGTGCCCAGTGTTGAGGGACAGGGAGGCAGGACTGGCTTGTTAGGGAAACCACATTTGTAACTGTGCAAGGTGACTGGGTGAGCTCCTCAGTCACCCCACATTCTGCCTGTCTGGGAACTCCACATCTCACAGTTCCTGTCGTGTGTCAAAGACATCTTCTATAGGGCCAACTACATGCACAGAAGCCACAGAGCCGGAAAGGGCTTGCTTTGGCTCCGAGTCTCCAAGGCATCCAGTAAGTCACTCAATAAATGCTGAACAGCAGAGCCTCTGCCCGGGGTGGCGACGTGGTGCCCACTACTCTGCCCCTCCTCCCCGAGCGGCAGGTCGTGGGATGCCTCTGTGCGTCCTGCGTGCCAAAGCGGGACAGGTGCCCACAGACCCTGGAGACAGAAACGCGGGCTGCGCCCTTTTCTTTCAGTTGATCTGATGATGTGCGCAGGCCCCGCTTCTTGTGTTGGGTGAGTGAGGCGCAGCTTTTACTGTGTTCTCGCTGTGTACCAGGCGGGGTGGTTCGTCCCGCTCAGCACGGCCCTCCAGAGCTGTGTCTGGCAAGTCTACCTGAAACCCGCTGCGCATGTGAGGAGGGCGGAGGCCCCAGCAGGTGAGGTATAGGTCAGGCCCATAGGTGGATAGTGGCAGGGCAGGTGAGTGAGAGCCGCTGGAGGGAAGCGAATGATGGATGGATGGATGGACGGGTGGGCCAGAGGGGTGAGTGGGTGAGAGGATGTGTGAGTGTGGGAAAGGATGAGTGAGCCACCGGATGTGCCCATGAAAAGGTGGGTCAGTGAATGGGGGGGGGGGTGAGGGAATGAACGAGAGAATGAAAAGGTGAATGAGAAGATTAACAAATGTGTGAATGAGTGTCGGAGAGAATGAATGTGTGAACGAATGAATGGAAAGATAGGCCTGAGTGTATGAATGAATGTATGAGACGACTCAGAGATGATGAGTGAATGAAGGATGGGCCACCTGCCAGGCAGGGAGAAGCCTGGTGAGGGGTGGGGGAGGTGCTGAGCCTGGGGGAGAGGTGGGAGGGGCCTGTGCCTGAGGAGGAGAGCGGGGGCCACCAGTCCTGGGGAGGTGGGCGTGGTCTGGTCTGGTCCTGTCCCCACCCATTCGCCATGAAGCAGCTGTGCCTGTGCGCAGCCGCCTCCTTCGCGGTAGGCATTTGGGTCCCTCTGCGCCTTCCCCTCCTTCCCGGGAAGATGCTCGGCGGGGGCGGGGTGGGGGGCGGGGGGTGGGGGTGGGGGCAGCTGCAGGGCGCGGGGCCGACGTGGAGGACCGTGCCCAGGGCGTCTGTGCGGGCGCGGTGTCGGCCGGGCGTTGCGGGATGCAGGTGTCGGAGGACACTGCGGGCAGGGACTTGGGAACAGCCATGCTCCTGGGCAGGGAGTTTAGGGACATTTGCGGCTGCAGCTCTGCGGGCCAGGCCTTGGTGCCACGGGGGACGATGGGACCTTGGCAGAGCGGTTTTGAAGGGCGGGGCGGGGGGGGGGATGGTTTGGTAAAGGCTGGTCACCCCAGCATTCGGAGGCTGAGGCTGACCAACCACATAGTGAGACCCTGTCCCAAAAAACTTAAAAGACAGTAAAATAACTGTGGACGAGGGGCGGGGCGGTGGGTCAGTGGGTCAAGCTTAGCACCCACAAAGCCTCGGCTTCCCTCCCCAGCACTGTGTAAACCAGGTGAGATGATCCACACCTGTCATCCCAGCCTTGGGAAGGGGGAGGCAGGAAGATCAGGAATTCAAGGTCATCCTTGACTCACAGGGAGTTTAAAGCCAGCCTGGGCTACAGGACACCCGACCCTGCCTCAAAAACAGAGCTGGGGCAGTGGAGACCTGCCTTTAATCCCAGCAGTTTGGGGGCAGAGGCAGCAGGCCTAGCTCTGTGAGTTCTAGGCCAGGCTAGCCTGATCTACATAGAGAGATGCTGCTTTAAAAAAAAAAAAGAAGGTGGGATGCTGTCTTACAAGACTGGCTTTGGCTTAAGGCACAATGAGGGGAGGTGGTTTGAGGATTGACATTTGGAAGGCGCCTGGTAGTGGGCCTGCAGACACGTGCTGGGGGATGCAGGTTTCAGAGACGCTGTCTCGAGGCCCCCAGCCAGGACCACCTACCCCACAGCTCCGGCTCAGCCCCACTGACCTCGGCTCCTGCCCGCCCTGTGGCCCGTGCCCTATCCCGAAACCCGCAGCAAGAGGGCAGGCGCCAGGCAAGTGCCCAGGAGTGGGGTGGGTGAGAGCCCGGAGCAACTGCCCTTGTTTCTTGGTGGGGAGGGGACAGTGACCCACTCAGTCCCACGCACCTTTGGGTGTGCCACCGCAGGGCCAAGACTGGGGCAAAAGTGACCAGCGCCTGCTCCAGGCCGTGGAGAACAACGATGTGGCCAGAGTGGCCTCGTTGATCGCTCACAAAGGGCTGTTGCCCACGAAACTGGACCCCGAGGGCAAGTCTGCGTGAGTGCCCCAGCCCTGGGACCGGGTGGCCTTGGACACTCTTCTGGGAATGACCCCTAACCTACCCCTCCAGGTTCCACTTGGCGGGCCATGAGGGGTGCGGCGGGCTGTCTGGAGGTGATGCTGGGTCAAGGCTCAGACGTCATGAGCACAGATGGAGCAGGTACTTCCGGACCTGCCCCCGGTGGATGGTAGGGTGCTCAGCTGTCCAGAGCAGGGACCACAGGGCCAACTGTAGGACCTCACTGTCCAGATCGAGGCTGTAGCTCAGTGAGTAGGACACTCACCAGACACGGGACAAGTCCTGGGGTCCATCCTCTGCACCACTGGCACACACCTGTCATCCCAGCACTTTGTGTGGCGGTGCAAGGGTCGGGAATTCAAGTGATCCTCAGCTGTATACGAACTGGAGGCCAGCCTGGGCTGTGTGAGACTTTGTCAAAAGTAAAAATTAAAAAAATCATTTAATCCTAGCAGCATCTGGGTGGCAGAAGCAGGCAGTTTCTGTGAGTTCCAGGCCAGCCTGGGCTGCATAATGAGACCCTGTGTGGAAAGACAACAGACAGCCACAAAAAGGTCGATGGGAGCAGCTGGTTTTAAGAAGTAGCTGAGTTTGGAAGTTCAGGCTTGGGAGGCACCCGGAGGACACTTCCCGTCTCTTCTCCCTTCAGGTTACAATGCCCTTCACCTGGCAGCCAAGTATGGGCACCCTGAGTGCCTGAAGCAACTCTTGGAGGTCCTGATGCCCATTCTCTGTCCACACGGAACTCCAGCTACTTCCCCAAACCCCAGCTGCTCCTGGCCCCCCAGCCCTGTCCCTTCTGTTTACTGTCATCAAAGTAGGGTTACCTGGGGGGCTGGAAGATGGGTTCTCAGGGAAGGAGGATGGGGAAGGGCAGAGAAAGAGCCAGAGGGGCTGGAGAGGTTGCTCAGTGGTTATAACACTGGCTGCTCTCATAGAGGATTTGATTCCCAGCACCCTCGTGGAGGCTCTGTGACTACAGCTCCCAGGGACCCTACACCCCCTTTTGGTTTTCTCAGGCACTCGTGCACACAGACAGACAGACAGACACAGACACACAGATCTCACGCAAAATTAAAAGTAGATCTTAAAAATAACGAATATGTGGGCCAGTGAGATGTCTCAGCAGGCGAAAGCACTTGCTCCTAGCTCGATGACCTGATTTTGTTCTCTGGGAACCACATGGATGGAAAGACCAGACTCCCACAGGTTGTTTCTGTGCCGAGTGCCAGCGAGCATACACACAGAAACAAAGGCAATAGAAACTTAAAGAAAAGAGCCTGAGATACAGCAGAGCCCCAGGGAGCAGGGAGGGCTGGGGAAATCAGTCACTCAGGAAATAGCGATGACATTACCTGTCACTCCTTCCAAGGCTTCCTGCGTGGTGGACATTGAGGACAGCAGTGGGTGGACAGCCCTTCACCATGCAGGTGGGTGCAGCCAGGGCCTCCCAAATTCAAGGAAGGCTCTCTGGCAGTGGACCACGCCCCCAGCCCCTCACTGGGGATTCTGGGCGGGCCTCCACCCTGACCACGACCCCAGCCCCTCACTGGGGATTCTAGGCAGGGCTCCACCCTGACCACGCCCCCAGCCCCTCACTGGGGATTCTGGGCGGGACTCCACCCTGACCACGCCCCCAGCCCCTCACTGGGGATTCTGGGCGGGCCTCCACCCTGACCACGCCCCCAGCCCCTCACTGGGGATTCTAGGCGGGGCTCCACCCTGACCACGCCCCCAGCCCCTCACTGGGGATTCTAGGCGGGGCTCCACCCTGACCACGCCCCCAGCCCCTCACTGGGGATTCTAGGCGGGGCTCTATCTCTGACCTGAAGCTGCAGAACTTTGTTTTTAGTTTTTATGAATGTGTGTTCATGTGTGTGACATGTGGAAGTCAAAGGACAATCTAAGGGTCACAGTCATGCGTCCTCCACCTCCTCTGAGACAGTCTCTCTGAACCTGGCCTCCACAATTTAAGCTAGGTTGGGTGACGAGTAAACCTTGGATCCTTTTGCCTCTGCCTCCTCGGTGCTGGGGTCACAGGTATGCACCCCCACACCTGACTTTTACGTGGGTTTTGAGGATGGAACTCAGTCTCTTATGGACTGAGCCATCTTGCCAGCCTTCTCCTTACTTATTTTGATACAGAGTCTCTCTTTGTAGCCTAGGCTAGCCTTGAAGTCCGGAGGCCTCTGCCTCAGCCTCTGAGTTGCTGGAGGACGGATGTGGGCCACTGTCTCCAGTTACTCCTCTTGTTCTGTGTGCAGCCCAGGGCTCAGCTTGAACTGCACTCACCATCTGAACCAGGCCCCTTTGCCACGTTGCACAGAGAAGCTGGGCACATGTACCAGTGGGGGAACCCTGTTTCTTGTACCTCAAGGCCTAGCCTGTGGGTGGACAAAGTAGGGTGCCCAGAACCCCAATTGCTTCCAGAATCTCCTGGGTGCCTTGAGTGCAGGCAGCTTGTCCAATCCAGACTCCGTCCTCAGAGCAGCCAAGGACTGATTACTGGAACCCAGGAGCACAGGGTCCAGGCCTGCAGGACCCCTCCAAGCAGAACCTCCTGCTCCAGGGGACAGCACTTGGGTTTGCTCTGGGGGTGTTAGTTACTAAGTCCCCAGGTAGAGTGGCACCATCAGGTGGCGTCCATGCCCACAGATACTCGAGGGATGTCTTAAAAATAAATTGCATTTGCTTGTTTATTGTGGGGGTAGGGACATCTTTGTCACAGTGCTTGTGTGGGAATTGGAGGATGACTTTGGGAGTGGGTTCTCTCGCGCGGCAGGTGTGTCCTGCGGATTAAACTCAGGTCAGCAGCTTGGCAGCAAGCACCTTTACCAACTGAGCCATCTTTCTGGCCCACTTTTTTTTTTTTTTTTTTTTTTTTTTTTTTTTTTTTTTTTTTTTGGTTTTTCGAGACAGGGTTTCTCTGTGTAGCTTTGCGCCTTTCCTGGTACTCGCTTTGGAGACCAGGCTGGCCTCGAACTCACAGAGATCCGCCTGGCTCTGCCTCCCGAGTGCTGGGATTAAAGGCGTGCGCCACCACCGCCCGGCACTGGCCCACTTTTTAAAAAGTGATTTTTGTTTAATTTTAAACTATTTATCTATCTATCTATCTATCTATCTATCTATTTATTTATTTATTTATTCAAGACAGGTTTTCTCTGTGTAGTTTTTGGTGCTTGTCCTGGATCTCGTTCTGTAGACCAGGCTGGCCTCCAACTCACAGAGATCTGCCTGGCTCTGCCTCCTCAGTGCTGGGATTAGAGGCGTGTGCCACCACCACCTGCCAATTTTAATTTTTTTTAAAAATGTATTTAAAATTTTTTTTTATGTGTACGAGTGTTTTGCTTGCATGCATGTCTGTGCTAGGCCAGAAGGGGGCATCGGGTCCTCTGGAACTGGAGTTATAGATGATTGGGAGCTGCCTTGTGGGTGCTGGGAACCAAATCCAGGTCCTTTGCAACAGCATCCAGCGCTCTAACCACTGAACCATCGCTCCAGCCCTGAGGTTTGAGTTGAGGCATGGTCTCATTCTGTAGCCCAGGCTGGCCCCTAAGGTGCAGCCATCCTCCAGCCTAGGCCTCCCAGCTGCTGAGTGGGTTCCAGCCCGGCCCAGGCTACAGGCTGAGACCCCAACACTAAGGTGTAGTAGCAGGCAGCTGCTTCTCCCACCAACTCTCTCATCTGTCTTTCCCAGCGGCTGGTGGTTGTCTGTCCTGCTCAAAGCTGCTCTGCTCTTTCAAGGCACATCTGAACCCCCGGGATCGGGTGAGCTGCTGAGGTCTTGTGGGGGGATACAATACAATCCTTGCGGTCGGTGGCCAGCAAGGGCGGCTTCCCAGGCATCACCTGCAGCGAAGCGTGGGGTGAGACTCCAGGGCAGCCATCACTCATGCCGTCTCATCCTCCCTCCCAGTCGGGTGCCACGCCCCTCATGATAGCAGCCCAGATGTGTCACACAGACCTGTGCCGCCTCCTCCTACAGCAGGGGGCTGCAGCAAATGACCAGGACCTGCAAGGCAGGTGAGCACCTCCCTCCCTACCTTCCATCATATGCTGTGTGGCTTGGAGCAGGTATCTGGACCTCTCTGAGCTGGGGACCTAGGAAGCCTCGTTTTAATCTTCCTGGCCTGGGTGTAGAGAAGGGTTCAGGGGGTTGGGGACAAACCTCTGCCCCCTCAGCAGCCCCTTTACCCCCACAGGACAGCCTTGATGCTGGCATGTGAGGGGGCCAGCCCCGAGACTGTTGAAGTACTCCTGCAGGGTGGAGCCCAGCCGGGCATCACCGATGCACTGGGCCAGGACGCCACTCACTATGGAGCCCTGACCGGGGACAAACTCATCTTGCAGCTTCTACAGGAGTCTGCACAGCGCCCTTCACGTCCCAGTGGTGTGCAAGCCCCCCCCCCCCCCCCCCCCCCGTCTCCTTCTAGGCAGTTTCTGATCATCCCCTTATTTGCTTGTTACTGATAGTTTCAAGGTACCCCAATCTGCTGGGTCATGAAAATTTTCATGTTTCCCCAGCTCAGGGCAGTTTCAAGGAGCCCCAGAGGACTTAAGAGTGGTCTGAGGGTTCACTGTGATTTCTTGGGTCACCCTTAGTATGGAGACTGCCTTTCCAAACAGGTGACAACCCACACCACCTCCCAACTTGGAAGATGCCCTGCCCCGAGTCTCCGAGAGTTTTGAGGCCCTCCCCACACAGATCCCACCCCTGTAGGTTTCTACCTTAAAGTCCCTGATTCAGAGGCTGGGTTTTGTGGTGCATGACCAGGAGACTAGAGCACTCACATCTGAGTTTGAGGCTAGCCTGGGCTACAGAGTGAGACCCCCCTCAGAACAACAACAAAAAGGAAGCTGAGAGAGCTTCCTTTGGGAAGCTGAGAGAGCCCTCTGAGTACCCTGGGCTGGCCAGCAGCCTCCTGGAGCTGAGAACACAGAGCTGGTCCTGACTCTGCTTTCCCTCTCCGCCAGCCTCTCTAGAGGATGACTCCGGAGAGGCCTCGTCTCAGGTAGGAATCCGAAAGGAAGGGGGACAGTCCCTGCTCCTGCCCCATGCACACACTCACTCCCCGCCTCCCTGCCCCCCCACCCCAAAGGAAGAGACAGCAATTCTGTCACCTCTACTCCGGGATGTGCTGCCACCCAGTGGCGGTCATGTGAATACCAGCAATCCTGCACACCGGGACAGCGAGGCCTGGATGGGAGTTGCTAAGAGCTGATTCAGACAGAGGAAAAGACGAGCCTGGCCACTTTCCCCGCCCCGCCCCGGGTCTTCTGTGTCTGAGGCTTCACAGGGGATAGAAAATGTCACAGAGGACAGTGGAGCCAGGGAAAGGGTCCTCAGAGAATAGTGGGAGATAGGATGAATAGGGTGGACTCTGGGTCCATCACAGGAAGTCAGGGGGGAGCTGAGGCTGCTGACGGCTGGGGGGCTGGTCACGGTGGAATCCTTGAGCAGATCCTGACGCAGGCCTCATGTCCTACATCCCCCTGTGCCCACACCAGAACTCGGTGTCCAGCCACGAAAAGCGAGGGGCCCCCAAGAAGCGGAAGGCACCCCAGCCTCCAGCCAGCACGCCTGTTCCCGTAAGAGATGGGGTTGGCCTGGGGTGGGAGGGGGCTCTGCCTCACACTCAGGGTGTTGCAGCCCTGGAGACCTCACCTAAAGTGGCTTCCCTTGGTGGGGAGGAGACAGGACGATCAGGATGCTTATGAGGAGATTGTACGCCTGCGCCAAGAGAGAGGCCGGCTCCTACAGAAGATCAGGGGACTGGAGCAGCACAAGGAACGGAGGAGAAGGGAGGTCAGGAGGCTGCAAGGCCTGCGGTCTGGGCGTGGGGAAACTATTCCTTGGGACACCATACCCCTACTTTCCTCCCCTTCCTTCTCCCTCTGCTCCAGACACTCGGCCCCTCACTGGCCTTCCACATGCCAGGCCTGTCCTGCCCCAGGGCCTTTGCACATGGTGTTTGCAGTAGAGAATTGCACTGTCCGGCTGTCCCCAAGGCTCCCTTCCTCACAGTCTCTGTTTGTTACTGATCGACATCTCCCCAGCCCACCTTATTTAAAATTGTACCCTCATTTTCAGCTCCCTTCATTTCCACCATATTCCTCCACCACTCAAAGGCATGCCCCTGAGAGCAGGCTCGGGTGAAGGTGCCAAGCTCAGGGTGGATAAATACTGGATGAATGACTGGCCCATAGTGAGGAGTGAATGAATGAATGAGTGAATGAATGAATGGCCTGGAACTGGGTCTGCTATGGAGCAGGCACTGGGCTAACACACTTTGAGTGAGTGAGTGAGAGAACAGAATGGGGTCTGGCACACAGCATGGACGATCATTCAGAGTGGCACACAGTAGGTGCTCAGTGTAGGTGGAGAATAGCCATGGCTGCCAGACACTAGGTGGTGCATGGCTATCCAGCTCTGTCCTGCTCCGTCCAGTCCCAACCACTTCTACCCGCAGCCCCTGGAAGCAGAGGCCAGCTCAGTGCACAGCCTGGAGAGGCAGGTAGGTGGGGAGGGCCAGTGCTTGGGAGGGTCCAGGGTCCTTGGATCCCAGGGTCTGGGGACTTCGGGTCCTGGGTCGTCAGGTCCTTAAATGCAGGTGCAGGAGCTGCAGCAGCTGCTGGCGGAGAAGCAGGAGGAGAAGGAGAGCCTGGGCCGGGAGGTGGAGAGCCTGCAGAGCCGCCTGTCCCTGCTGGAGGTGAGCGGGAGCCCGGGAGGGCGGGGCCAGAGGGGTTAGGGTGCCGCTATGGGCATAGGGCAAGAAGCTAGACAGGCTGGGGTCAAAGACTGGGGGCGGGACCAGAGGCTGGGTGGGGTTGGAGTCTGGAATGGGAGTAGGGGTGTGTGGAAAGTCTGAGGACAAGGGTAGGGTGGGGCTGGGGTGGGCCATCATCAAAGTGTGTGGAGCCAGTGCTGGGAGGGGCGAGGGGCGGGGCCACTGCAAGGAATGGGAAGGACCATGGCAGGGGTGGGTGGAGCCGGGGTGGGTGGGCGGGGCTTGACAAGTGGGGCCCGAATCTCTGTCGGTGTCAGGTGGGATCTTTTGAGGTGCCAGAGCTTCATCCAGGCACCATGGTGCATCCACAATGTACCGGCCACACACGACTTCCACAAACCCACATAGCGATGGAGATTTCTCCAAACACGCAAAGATGGCCACCACACTGACACACGCATCCCACATGCCCCACAGGTATAAATCTTCCAGTCACACACGGTTCACATCCCTCAAACCTACACCCACATACTGCTCAAAATGTGCAATTGGAATCAGCGAGACAGACCAGCTGATAATGTGGCCTGCTGCTCACCCTGCTGACCTGAGGTCACTTCCCCACAGGCTGGAAGGAGAACCAAATCTCAAGTTGTTCTCTGACTGCCACCTGTGAATGTGGCATGTGTGCATGCCCGTGCAGACACACACACACACACACACACACACACACACACACACACATATAAAATATAAGTGAGTAATTACACAAATATGCATAGAGAGGATCCTCTATCGGGAAGGTGCTGGGATTCAAACCCACAGCCTTGATCATATGCTAGGAATGTCCCTCGGTGGTGAGGGCATGTGCAAAGGCCCTGGTCCACGCTGGCATCGTAGTAGAACGTGGAAGGGCATGTTGGATGTTCAGTGAATAAAGCCACAACCAGTCGGGTGTCTCCAGGGTGTTGGGTAGATATATGAACACCCCAGTTTTGGGAGGTGATGGGGGTATCAAGGGGCAGGACCTGAAGGTCGACTTTGAACCACACACCTAGAACGAGAGAGAGAACACCAGCTATGACGTAGCCACCCTGCAGGATGAGGAGGGTGAGATGCCTGACTTTCCAGGTGAGTTCTGACCCCCCCCCCCACCCCCCACTGCTGCCCATCTGGGCTTCTCAGAGGGTGGGGAGGACAGAGCCATGACCTCGCACGGAGGGGTGCGATGCCAGGGGAGTGGCACATGCACTGTGAGTGCCCCGCCTGCCCGAGGCGGTGCTGGGTCCCCTGCTGAATGGCTCCTGACCCCTGTCCCCGATGGTGTGCGCTCCCAGCCCGACTCAGGGCTCTCCCTGACCCCGCCAGGAGCGGATGCTTTGTTGTCAAAGCCTCTCCGGCCGTCGGCTGAGGAGCTGGTGGCATCCCTTCAGGAGCAGGTGGCTCGGCTCACCAGGCAGAACCAGGAGCTGCTGGAGAAGGTCCAGGTGGGGGAAACTGAGGCAGTGCACAGCTCTGGGGACCTGGGTGTGGGCGGGGAACGTGGTAAGGCTGCCTCTTAGCCCGCCTGCCTCCCCGTCCCCAGATCCTTGAGGAGTTTGAGAAGGACGAGGTGCAGATGGCGGAAGACAGTCAGCCTGAGGTAGTCCCTCTGGTCTTGTATGACTCCCTGAGGGCAGAGCTTGAGCAGCTCCGGAGGCAGCACGAAGAGGCCATGCATGCGCTGCAGCAGCAGCGGGAGGTGACCAGGGGTCATGGGGCAGAAGAGACAGCACACAGGGAGAGCAAGGACAAGGGCACAACCTCCCAGAATGGACCCAGTGTCCCGGAGCTCAACGGCACCACGTATCCAGAAACCACAGCCAATGGCACCGAACCCCAAGCCGGAGGCTCCGTGGGCGTCGGGAACACGGAAGCCAGTGCTTCAGAAGTGGCACCCATAGAGCCCGAGGCTGCAGGCTCAGAGGCCACGGGGAAAGATGGAGTGGCAGTGGAGGTCGTGGACACGAGAACCACCGTGGCTCAGGCCCTAGACGTGAGCCCTGAAAGTGAGCCGGTGGCGGCAGAAGTCACAGGAGTGAAGGAGAATCCAGGAATGAAGGCTAATGGAGAGCATGTGGTGCAGGATGGGCTCACAGGGACAGGGATTAGAAACATGGAGGCCACCGGAGTAGAGGCCACGGTAACGAAGGCCACAGAATTGCGGGATACCGGAGTTCAGGCCACAGGAGCAGAGGCTGTGGCAGTGAAGACCACGGGAGTGCAGGCCACAGTGGCAGAGGTCATAGGAGTGAAGGTCACAGGAGTGCAGGCCACGGTGACAGAGGACACAGGAGTAGAAGCCACCGGGGCGCAGGCCACTGAGGAGACAGAGGCCAAGGGAGCAGAGGCTACGGGAGCTCATGCCACCACCCTGGAGGCCACGGGGGCACAAGCCACAGACACCATAGGAGCGCTGGCCACTGTGACAGAGGCCAACGGAGCCGAGGCCATAGGACTCAAGGCCACGGAAGCGGAGGCCACCCGCACAGAGGGCCCCTGCACCGCGGCCCTGCACCCGGGGGCGGCGGCGGCGGCGCTGCAGGCCGAGCTGGAGACCCGGATCCGCGGCCTGGAGGAGGCGCTGCGCCAGCGGGAGCGGGAGGCGGAGGCCGAGCTGGAGGCCGCCCGGGGCCGGTTTGCGGAGGCGGAGGCGGAGGCAGAGGAGGCGGCACGGGGGCGGAGCCGCGAGCTGGAGGCGCTGCGGGAGCTGCTGGCCACGGCCACGGCCACGGGCGAGCACGCACGCGCGGAGGCCGCCGAGCTGCGCCAAGCGCTGTCGGCCTCCGAGGCCCGGGCCGCCGACCTCAGCTCCGCCCTTGACACGGCCCGCGAGGAGCTGGAGCGCATGCGCGGGGCCTCAGTGCCCGCGGACGAGCACGAGCAGGCGCTGGGCGCGCTGCGCGACCACGTGGCCCGCCTGCAGGCGCAGCTGGCGGAGCTGGCGCGCAAGCACGAGAAGACAAGCGCCGAGGTCTTCCAGGTGAGCGCCCGTGTCAGGCCGCCCTTAAGGTGTCTTTCCGCGTTGGCGTGGGCGTCTCTGCACATGCGCAGTACCCGCGAGGCCAGAAGAGGGCGTCCGATCCGCTGGAACTTTGGACATGAGTCGAGCGTGGGTGCTGGGAACCGAACCTTGGTCTTGTGCAAGAGCAGTTGGTGCTCTAACCGCTTTGCCATTTCTCCAGCCCTCAATATTTCTGTTTTGATTTAATTTGTTCTTCTTCTGTGTGTGCACACACTGTATGGTGGGAAAGTCAGATGGCAGCCTGTGGGACCCAGTCCTCTCCTTCCACCGTGCGGGTCCTGAGGACCAAACCAAGGCTGTGAGGCTTGGCTGCAAGCGCCTTTACCGGCTGAACCATCCCGAGCCCTGGTCTTTCTTTTCTTTCTCATTGCTTTTTGGGTTTTGTTTTTATAACAGAGACTCAAGTAGTCCAGGCTGACCTTGAACTCATGACCCTCCTGCCTCCACCTCCTAATTATAGGGATGACAGGTCTCACCCCGACCTGTTTATACAGCGCTCTACCCACTGAGACCCATCTGAGCTGAAAACGTTGATACAGCAGACTTGGTGATGCACAGCCGCACACGGAAATCTGTCACAACAAAACAAAACAAAGCAAAATGCAAACAAAAAACTCCCTTACAAGGGAGAGTGTGTATGTGTTTCGAGGCAGTCTCTCTCAGTTGTCTGGGCTGTCCTTGAACTCACATGTAGCCCTCAAACTCCTGATCTTCCTGCCTCAGCCCCCTGAGTAGCTGGATCTCAGGTTTGCACCACCGAGTGTGGAAGCTAGGACACAGAGAGGCTTACCTACCTGTCCAGCGACACACAGATAGTAAGCAGAGGTGCATGGCAGGACCAGAATGTTCCTAGGGTCGGGTGGGAATTCAGAACCTTCCTGGAGGTGTAAAGCCATCAGCTCAGCATGGAAGGGTGGGGAGAGCCCCAGGATCCAAGCCTCTTTGGGGTCTAAATGTCCCGAGAGTCACTTGTGGGCTTGGGCTACAGGTGCAGCGTGAGGCATTGTTTATGAAGAGCGAGAGGCACGCGGCCGAGGCCCAGCTGGCCACGGCCGAGCAGCAACTCCGGGGGCTTCGTACAGAGGCCGAGAGGGCACGCCAGGCCCAGAGCCGTGCCCAGGAGGCCCTGGACAAGGCCAAGGAGAAGGACAAGAAGGTGGGTTCCCTCCTGCTCACTGTTGGGGCCCACTCAGTCGAGGTTACACAGAACGGAAGAACCTTCTAGCCGCCACTGTCTGGTGAAACCAGCCCATTTATCACATGGGAAAGTCAGACACAGACGATGCTCCAACCGACCACTGTAACCATGGTAACTGGTGTGGCTCGCTCACTGTTCTAATTATCCATTTGAAGTAACAGGAGCAGAGAGGCAGATCCACTCACACAAGGTCACGCCACTAAATGGATCATAAGCTGAGATTCCAACCCAGATTTCCCACCTGTAACTTTTAGAAGATTTTTAAATTAAATGTACTTCTTTAGTTGGGGTCTGGGGCATGCATGTGTGGAGGTCAGAGGACAACTTACCTGCATCTGTGTTCTCCTTCAAGCATGTGGGTCCCGGGGATCGAACTCAGTAGAGACACAGACTTGTCAGCATGTGCCATCACCCACAGAATCATCTCACGGGCCCCCAGTCGTATCTTTTTTTCTGTGTGTTCTTTGTGTGCATGTGCATGTGTGGAGGTCACAGGTCATCCTTGGGCATCCCATAATGTGAGATTAAAATCCAATTTGTGCTTATGGGTTACTGAGCATCAGTTCCAGACCCTAGTGTTCCCCGGATGGGCCAACAGGGACTGGAAGAGCAGAGCAGGGTGTTTTTCTATGAAGGGCCAAAAAGACAAAGTATTTGCTGAGCTGTAGGTTGTCTGCGTCCTGTTTGCTGTGAGCAGACAGGGCCATGTGTCGATAAAACTTTATTGATGGACATCCAAATGTGATTTGGAATCCCTTCAAGAGTCACAGAATAGGTCTCTCTTTGGGTTTCTTTTTTTTCTCCCCACACATTTGAAAACTTGAGGAACGTTTTTAGTCCTTTGGCTGTATAAGTACAATTCCCAGTCAGCTCAACTCCTGGCCCAAATCAGTGACCCTTTACCAAGCTGCCCAGGAGAGGTGCAGAGGTCCCTGGTCCTTCCCTGGCTGCTCACGAAGTTCTCCCACCCCTCCAGATCACAGAACTGTCCAAAGAAGTCTTCACACTGAAGGAGTCTCTGAAGATGCAGCAGACAGCCCCTGCCAGCTCCAAGGAGGAAGCCCTGCGCAGCCAGGTGGCAGCCATGCAGCAGCAGATGGAGGTGCCACTCTGCGGCAGGGGAGGGGTGATGGGAGCCACAGATGGAGCAGTCAGGGTACAGATGGGGATGGCTGACAGAATCCAGGCTGGTCAGGGCACCTCAGGGTCACTTCCCTGACTCAGGCATCAGCAACCACTGAACATGGGGTTTTACCTCAGGTGGAGGTATGTGGGTGTGTCTCGCTGTGGATGGGCCTCACCTTCCAAATTCTCTTCCCATTCCTCTCCTTCTCCCCCTCCCACTCCCATTCCCTCCCTCCCTCTCCACCTTTCTTTTGAGCCAGGGTCTCATGTGGCCCAGGCTGACCTTGAGCATCAGATCCCTCTGTCTCTCTCTCCCGTGTCCACAGGAGGAGGCCCGGGAGCACGGTGCTGTGGTGACTCTGTACCGCACTCATCTCCTGTATGCCATGCAGGTGAGTCCCCTGCCTCTTCACTCCATCTCAGGGTGCCAACCTGGCTTCATCATTCCTCTGCCACTGCCTGGGCCTCAGTTTCCCCTTCCTTTTGGGACAGGCTTTTGGGTTCTGGGGTCTCTGTGTACAGACCTGTCTCGTGAAGTGTTGACCCCCTTGGGTTTGAGTAGGGGAATTTCTAGGGCACAGGGGAGCACCCCGCTGGTGCACCAGGGTTTGTCTCTGCCTCTGTCAACCCCTACCCCACCACAGGGACAGATGGATGAGGACGTCCAGTGCATTCTCAGCCAGATCCTGCAGATGCAGCGGCTACAGGCTCAGGGCCGCTGAGGACACAGCTCAGCCGTTCAGTCTCCATCCTTCACCTCTGCAAGCTGAAGCTACAGAGACCACCTTCCCCATTCCCCCAGAGTGATGAATGGGACTCATCATGCACTGGGAGGCTAGCCTGGGACCTCACCAATGGTGCCCAGCTGACCCATCACTCCACGGCTCCCAACACTCCCCATCTGATATGTTACAACTACCAATATGCCACCTACATCACAACCGTTCAGCCAGGAGTATAAGCTCACTGCAAGAGGGAGACATAACCAGTGTGGGATACACAGTGAGGGCAGGGATGGGGCAGGGGAGTTCAGAAGAGAGTCTGATATTCTGGACCCAAAACACAGTTATGGCAATAAATATGAGTGCAATGCAATATTTAAAGAAACCAGGAAATAGTGCTGTGGCTCAGGGGTAAAGCCCCCACCTAGAATCCCCCAGTGAGGGGCTGGGGGCATGGTCAGGGTGGAGCCCTGACTGGAATCCCCAGTGAGGGGCTGGGGGCGTGGTCAGGATGAAACCCCGCCCAGAATCCCCAGTGAGGGCCTGGAGGCGTGGTCAGAGTGGAGCCCCACCTAGAATCCCCAGTCAGGGACTGGGGGCGTGGTCAGGATGAAACCCCGCCCAGAATCCCCAGTGAGGGCCTGGGGGCGTGGTCAGGGTGGAGCCCCACCTAGAATCCCCAGTGAGGGGCTGGGGGCGTGGTCAGGATGAAACCCCGCCCAGAATCCCCAGTGAGGGCCTGGGGGCGTGGTCAGGGTGGAGCCCCACCTAGAATCCCCAGTGAGGGTCTGGGGGCGTGGTCAGGGTGGAGCCCCGCCCAGAACCCCCAGTGAGGGGCTGGGGGCGTGGTCAGGGTGGAGCCCCGCCTAGAATCCCCCAGTGAGGGTCTGGGGGCGTGGTCAGGGTGGAGCCCCGTCTAGAATCCCCAGTGAGGGGCTGGGGGCGTGGTCAGGGTGGAGCCCCGCCCAGAATCCCCAGTGAGGGTTTGGGGGCGTGGTCAGGGTGGAGCCCCGCCTAGAATCCCCAGTGAGGGGCTGGGGGCGTGGTCAGGGTGGAGCCCCGCCTCCCAGTGAGGGTCTGGGGGCGTGGTCAGGGTGGAGCCCCGCCTAGAATCCCCAGTGAGGGGCTGGGGGCGTGGTCAGGGTGGAGCCCTGCCCAGAATCCCCAGTGAGGGTTTGGGGGCGTGGTCAGGGTGGAGCCCCGCCTAGAATCCCCAGTGAGGGGCTGGGGGCGTGGTCAGGGTGGAGCTCTGTCTAGAATCCCCAGTGAGGGTCTGGGGGCGTGGCCGGGGTGGAGCCCCGCCTAGAATTCCCCAGTGAGGGGCTGGGGGCGTGGTCAGGGTGGAGCTCCGCCTAGAATCGCCAGTGAGGAGCTGGGGGCGTGGTCAGGGTGGAGCCCCGCCTAGAATCGCCAGTGAGGAGCTGGGGGCGTGGTCAGGGTGGAGCCCCGCCTAGAATCGCCAGTGAGGAGCTGGGGGCGTGGTCAGGGTGGAGCTCTGCCACTGCTCTAGAGGCAGTGAGACTTGGGACAATGGAGATGATATTTTAGGTGGACTGAAATCTAATGCAATAGCCAACTTTATTCAGAGCCCCTGACAATATAATGTCAGAGGGTTAAGAAAGGTCACATGAGGACAGCCAAGACTGCACAAAGAAAGCCTTTCTCTAAAACCAAAACCAAAAAAAAAAAAAAAAAGAAAAAGAAATGTAGCTGGAAGTTTTCCGGTGTCCCGTCCAGCCCTGAGGTCCCGCAGCTGCTTATAAAATAATCACTCAGAGGCTTATATTAATTACCAAGTGTATGGCCTATGGCAGGCTTCTTGCTAGATAGCTCCTTCATCTTAGCCCATTTTTATTAATCTGTGTATCTCCACGTGTTCTGTGGCTTTACCTGCATCCCATTACATGTTGCTTCTTGGATGGCGGTTTGGTGTCTCCCCCACTCTCCTTTCTCCTCTCACTATCTCTTGGATTTTCCCACCTGGCTCCATCCTGCCCTGCCATAGGCCAATGCAGCTTTATTTATCAACCAATTAGAGCAACACATATTCACAGTGTACAGAAAGATGTCCCACAACAAAGGAAGGAAGAAAGGTCACCTGAGTAAAGTTCTCATGAGTCCCAGCTGTATACAATCACAAGGACATGTCACAAATGGCAAAAACATGTTTTCCATGGGGACATAAACATTTATTTGAATAACAGCATCAAGCAATAATGAAAAATCTTAAGTAGACTCATTCCTACCCTCTACACCTGGGAGGAGCACAAAAACACATTCCATGTTTTGAAGAAAGTGAGTTCATAAGACTCTTTACTGTATTCTTGGAGTGTACTCAAATACTCAGAATCCTCCTCACGACTCCATTCCAGAACTTTGTTCTGACAAGCATGAGCTTATGCAAGACCTACTTATCCCAAACTTTCTATCTTTTTCTTCTCATCCTGTTATGCCCAGATTGAGGGGACCCCCAAAAGGCCACCACAGAGACAGAATTCCATATGTAAAAGCAAAGAGCTTTTATTTTCAAGCTCAGAGCTTGAACTCTGTCCGATGCAGCAGTGAGAGCAGAGAGCCCTGAGCCCAGGCCGGGTGGGATTTTCCAGGGTTCAGGACCCTGATTGGCTAACATTTGTCTAGAGGTATAGGGAATGTTTGGAATGTCAGTTATTTCCCCTTAGATGCAGGTTCTCCCTGGGTAGGGGTCAGCTTATGGCTTTTCCTAGGTCTAGGTGTTGCTGCCAGAAGCTGTGTCTGAGCCTCTAAATCTGTCATGGCAGCTGTGTGGTTAAGCTGTTTTGGCCCCCCTCACATTCCCCCCTTCACAAGTACCAATGAGAGGACTCAATCATGAGTCCTACCTGCCCAGGGGTTTAAGGGTATTGGGACATAAGACTAATAGCTAACAAACTTTTCTAGGACAGTGACATCTGTATCTATTGCCATTCTTAAGACCCCATAGTTCTGATCTTTGAGTACAACCAAATTATAATCTTGAATAATAATTTTTAAGGCCATATAATACCTCTTTGGTTCTGCACAAAGAAGGTCAAGTGTCTTATATTATTGCAGAACCATTTTAGTTAATAAATTTATCAATTGGCAATTCTTTTTTTAATATTTCTCATTTTTTAAAAGATTTATTTATTATGTATACAGTGTTCTGTCTGCACATATCCCTGCAGGCCAGAAGAGGGCACCAGATCTCATTACAGATGGCTGTGAGCCACCATGTGGTTGCTGGGAATTGAACTCAGGACCTTTGGAAGAGCAAGCAGTGCTCTTAACCTCTGAGCCATCTCTCCAGCCCCAATTGGCAATTCTGAACCTAATTTCCTGGTATATCAATGGGCATTATAGTTAGCTATTTTGTCCCCTATGCCAGGGAGTTTCCTTTTGACCCAACATTTCAACTGTTTTGCACAGGGAACATGGGACGATGTATTCTCTTCTGGAACTGCTTCTAGCTGACATTGGGGTGCCATTGTCAGGGCCCCCAAAAGGCTGAAAGGCTAGTCAAAGTCTAGACAATGGGGCAGCTGTCAGAAGCATGTGTCTATCTGACCCTGCAGAGACAGGGAACAATCAAGTTGGCTGGGCTGGTCCACGTCAGCTTTTAGCAAGTCCAGAGCTCATAGTTGTCTGGAGCAGCGTAGTCAGCAACTGAAGCTTGAAGGTGTCTGCCAGCCAAGGAGAAGTCTGTTGAGACAAACTTAAACCAGGAGCAGAAGTTAAAATTTATGAACTTATTTGAAACTTTTACTATAGTCATAGAATTGGGAAGGGCAGGAGTCCCAAGACCAGGAGAGAGAAAAATACCATCCTTAGGAACAGACAAGTGGGGAAAATTTAAGCTGTACTTATCTAGAGTCCTTCCGACCTTTGTGAAGTGGATTCAAGTTTTATGACTCTTTTAATCCTCTAAGACCTATATGAATTATCTTACAAAGTGACATAAAACTTTTAGATACATTAGCATTACCAATCTGTACTGAAATTCATATCGTAGACAAAGCAGGTAATGGGGATCTGTAAAACAGCAGAAGTGGACTCATACCTTTGAGTCCTAGCAAGAACTACAGATTTGGGTTAAAAACATGTGTATTTTCCTTCTGTCCAGAGAGCTAGGTATAAATTAGATTGTTTTTTGGCCTCATGAGAAGCACTTTTAAGTTTATATTTAGATGACAACCAAAATAAATCTAAAATGTTTAGCTTGTAACTGAACAATAAGTAGTCATTGCTCTACCAGCGTATCATAACTCTATTAAATGTTAGGCTCTGAACTGTTATATATAGGAGGGGAAAGCAATCCAAAACATTTTTCATAATTTAAATCATTTATTTATATCCTTATAACTTGCATTTATATCTTAAATCATTTTCTGAGATCCTCAAAGCTTATAAGCTTTCATGTCCTCAGACCTTTATATATCTTAAAACATTCTTAGACCCTCAAAACTTGCATAGACTTTTATGTCCTCAGACCTTTTTTTCCCAAACCCATATTTAAACCTTTATGACTTACTTAAACTTTCATGTCTTAGAACGTTTTCTTAAAAATGAGCTAACAAGCTGGCTATAACCTTGCAGAAGGATCTGGTTGTCTGATGCTGCCAAGCTGACAAACTTATAGCTAGCCTAGCCATCAGTACTATCAGAGATTTGCGAAGGATAAATTTAAGTGCAGACTAAGCAGCTTCCAATTCTACAAATGATAGGAGCTAGTCCATACCCAGCTCTCCATAGCATTGGAGGCATAAGTATCAGAACAGCTTCCTGAGACACAGAATCCACCAGCTCTGATTGGACCAGAGCTAAGATTGGGCCCAGTGTGGCCCCCTGAGACACAGACACAGCAAGCACAGATTGGACCAAGCAAGCAGCTTGCTCAGACACTGGCACCCCTTGCACCTATTGGAGGAAGAGATGGGTAGATGTCAATGCAAACATACATACAACAACATAAAGGGCAATATGGCATCACCGGATCTAGTGGTTCTACAACAGCAAGACCTGAACATCAAAACGTAGAAGAAAAGCAGAAGAAAGCAACCTAAAAAATAACTTTATGAAGATGATAGAGGCCTTTAAAGAGAAAATGAAAAATTCCCTTAAAGAAATTGAGGAAAAGACAAACAAAAAAGGGAAGAAAACAATAAAAACCTTAAAGAAGGCCAAGAAAATCATGAAAAAAACAATTAAACATGTGAAGGAAACAGTGCAAGACTTGAAAACTGAAAAAGAAAAAATGAAGAAGACACAAACCCAGGGAATGCTAGAAATAGAAAATCTGAGTAAATGAACAGGAACTACAGATGCAATCATAACCAAAGAATACAGAGATGGAAGAGAGAATCTCTGGCATAGAGGAT